CAAGCTTTCCCCTTTTCTTTGTTAAAACAAAGAAGCAAATGACCCCAGATGTTTGCAGTAAATAAGGGGAAGCCCTAGCAGTGTCAGAGATGGCATTTGGTTGGAGGACCAAGGGCCAGCCCCTTTTTGAATGGATTAGATACAAGAGGATAAAGCTTTCTAAATAGAAGAAAAAGATCAGATTTGCCCTTGCAACTCTCCAAAGATGTCTCTGTACTCTTTGCTTTCTTTCCTCCTATGTCAGGTAATGGAATGTATGTCTCTGTTGTTCTGCAGTTTCTGGTGTAGGTTTGTGCATTGTCTTATTTCTAAAGTGTATGCATTGTCTTATATTGGATTAAACTCTGTAATTCTGTGACGTCAACACGCAATGTTGGTTTTATTACCAAACGCAGCTCGCCGAGTGGACCTGGGGAAGGGAAGAATCAGAAGCCAATCTTTTTCCAAAGTTAACTATGTTAGAATATTTTCTTCCTTTACAGAGGCTAAAGCTCCACAATGGAAAGGGACAGTATGATAGAGTTTTATTTTAGGCTCGGAATGAGCTACAAAGAAATTCTGAGAAGCCTGGCATTGCAAGGAACCGTCATTACCGAGAGACATTTAAACCGGATATTGAGAGCCAGGTTGCTTTACCGGCGAAGGTACGACTTGGACGCCGGGATAGCTTTCATTGTTGACCAACTGCAAGGCCCTGGGAATGATCACGGTTACCGGTGGATGTTTACAAAGTGTAAACAACACGGTATTTCTATCAAAAAAGAAGACGTCAGGATCCTCCTCTCTCTACTGGACCCCATCGGTTCCCAAGTTCGCCAGACCAGACGTCTCAGAAGGAGGCAATATTTTGCTCAGGGACCTAACTTTGTGTGGCACATAGACTCATATGACAAACTGAAGCCATATGGCATATGCATTAATGGCTTCATCGACGGGTTCTCACGCAACATAATTTGGCTGCGGGCCGCCCTCACTAACAGCGACCCGAAAGTCATTGGGGCGTACTTTGTGGAAGCAGTGGAGCGCTGTGGGGGCTGCCCCAGGCTCGTACGAACTGACATGGGCACTGAGAATGTGGTGGTCAGAGACCTTCAGCGGTATTTACGTAGAAATGACGTGGATGACAGAGCAGCGGAGAGAAGCTATATCACAGGAGCAAGTACCGCGAACCAGAGAATTGAGAGCTGGTGGGGAGTGATGAGAAAAGAAGGAATAGAACCATGGATCACGCTTCTGGCAGAGCTGAAGGATGAGGGATTCTTCGCTGGAGATTTCATTGACAAAGCTCTGTCACAGTTCTGTTTCATGCCAATCATTCAGGTAATTAGCCTATATCAGGGGTTTTCAAAGTATGAAAGGGTGAGCCCCCCTCCAGGGAGCACTATGCCTGCTTCCCCCCCCCCCCCCCCCCCCCCCCCCCCCCCCCCAAAAAAAGAAATAAACCCACACACAAACAAATGCCACTACAAAACACCTCTTTTAAAATGACACTATCTGAATGAAATTTAACATATGAACATTTTAAAACATTTCCTCCCATTTTAATTATTTTATCGGGGCCTTTGTATGGCAAATACGCCCTTTTTTCATTTTTCTAATGATAAGAACAACCCCAAATTCACTTTTAAACTGTTTTCTCAAACAAACGTTACATCTGAGATTCTGACTTTAATGTTTGAGATACCAACAGTGTTTTCACATCTTAACAACATTTTGATCAGATCTTCATTGAGAGCTGTGGAAATTCAGTCCCTACTGACAGCCAAAAGTGCGCAAGTGACACGTCACTCATCCTCTGTTTTAAGTCCAGGTCACAGCTCAGCTCAGCCAGAGCCTCTTCCTCTCCTGCTGAAAGTCCATCTTTGAGTGTCGCAGGGAAGGAAAATGGGTTTCTCACCCACTGGTTTGCCATTGTCTCCTCTCCAAACTGCTCGCGCATCCCCTACAAATGCACGCAGACAGCCTGCTGTAAAAACTCCCCCTTCAGCCCCGCTCTGGCCAAAACATCCTCTAAGATGGGAAACATTTCCACTGATCCCCGCTCCACACGCGCACCCCACAGTTCCAACTTTGTCCTAAATACATATTTATTTTTTCCCTCGCACCGCGCCTCCCCTAAAGTGCTCTGGCGCCCCCTAGGGGAGGCGCGCCTCACACTTTGAAAACCGCCGGCCTATATTATGATCACAGCAAGAAACCCAGAAACTGTACCATCAACTCTACATTACCTTCATGTAATCTTAAGAGATTTAAGCCACCATGAGTTTGTTTATTTAATGTATGTGATGTATTGATTCTTTAGACTGTTGTGGAAATAATAATTGTCAAGATACTTTTATTTGCTCAACACAAACTTTTGTTTTTCTTACCCACTGCAAAGGCAGAGAATAAAGAGGATGATATTTCACTTATTATAGGCTCTAATTACTTTTTAAAAAAATGCACTGTATGCCCCACTGTATGACCTAATTGTTCTTGTTTCTTCAACAGGAGGTATTAAATGACATCCGGGGTGTTTGGAATGCTCACCGTATAAGGCCCTCCAAAAACACCAACGTGCCCAGTGGGATACCTGATGTCATGTACATGGCCCCTCACCTTTGGGGTGCAGAAGACTGTCTTGTTCCACTGACTGAAGATTTGACCACATGTAAAGACAGCTGCACATTTGTCAGTTCAGTCCCATGTGATGTGGACGTGTTTGATTTGTGCACAATAATAATGGAGGAATCGAGCTTGGAGTTCCCATCTACCATGTCCCAGGCACTTGATTTGTATTTTCATCTGAGGGACACGGTTCGTTCACAGTTATTTGAGGCTATTTAAATGGACACAAGCATACAAATCGTGTAGTACATTTGGTACTTTAGTACATGTTTTTCCAGTGTAATATACATATTACTTTGTGTGGTTATCTTGTGTCTTTGTTTAAACCAAAATAATCAGAAGACTGTATAACTTGCTGTTTTCCGTTTTAGCAAAGTGTCAGTAAAGGAACTCATCATTAAGTATTGATAGCTATTGTTAGCTAGAAAATAAGAAATGTTTGACTCAAATAGTTGTACAAGTTAGAGAAAATTAATCTTTTTTGGCTATAGTTATTATCCTTCAATTAATATTAAACTTGTAAAACTGTAAAGGCTTCAAAAGTTATTTATAACAAAGTTTGGTTGTTACATGTTTTTGATGTTTTGCTTTAGGGTAAACTTCAAACAAAAATAAACTGGATATAACACAAAAAATGTATCCATCTCTAATGAGGACAATAGCACCCTGGACAGCAACCACACAGACTGGCGATGATATCATCAATCTAATGTTATTATCAATTAGACAAGAGACCAAGTAGGCTACAGTATAGTGTATTATTATAATGTTTGTATCATCAATGCCCGGTATGTTTCCTGAGCCTCTGTTTTTGTTTTTGTGGAAGACATTAAAACAATCCAATGTTTGATAAAGAAGTTTGTATTTCAGAACAAATCACAGCACATTTATAACACTAGAGAGTGAGAAATGTTAAAGTGTAAAGATGTACAGAATGTAACCAAGAGGAAATAAACATTTTGTACAAACTTGAATGGTCTACTGGTCTTTTTCAAATTACACCATAGTCAAAACCAGGTGGTATTTTGCACATAACAGGTTAAGAACAGTTTTCAAACCTCCTGTTAGCCAGCATCATACTGATAGTTACAAAATAATGTTATTTAAACGTCTTTAAAGTATAAAAATCTTCTGAAAACAACTAATTTATTTTTAAACACCTCTGAAACATCAGCCAAGGCTCACATTCTTATTTCTACTGGGGTTGCTACAAACAACTGTAATAATAATATAAAACATACTTAATCAATTTTATTTTGGTATTTGAAGTGGAGTTGTACTTATGCCTAGTCAGTGTACCTGCAGTAGACAGTGCTCAGCACTCTCCCAGTTTACAGAACTGTAACTGTACGCTGTATTTGGAATATTTTCAACTCTTCACCTGCTCATAAAGTAGTCGTTTCTTTTGGCACTAAGTGGAGTAATACAGTGTGCAGCAGGCACAGATGCACTTTAGGTGTAGGCATATGGGAGTTCTATGGTTAGTGTAAAAGGAAAAGTAAGTTTTCCCACCAGGTGAAGCACTGAAAATATTCCTAATATAGTGTACAGGTAACCTGGTGTATTCTTTTGAAGTGGGACTTCTTTTAGGTGACTAAAATATGTTTGTTGCTGTGTCTTGCTCTGCTTCTGTCCCAGCACTACCCTCTGCTTCTGCAAACTCAGAGAGTGCTGAGTGCTGTCTACTACAGGTAATACACTGACTAAGCATACGTACCTCATACAACACCATTTCAAAAAACCCGTACTATCCCTTTAAGCCTACAATTTGATTGGGAAAGAACAAAACAACCACTTTCAAAGCAGATAACATAAAATGCCGCACATGAAAAAGGCACAACTGGCTATAATTAAGATAGCAATTCAATTCAGTTTATTTATATAGCGCCAAATTCACAACACATGTCATCTCAAGGCACTTTACAGTTCAACCAGATCATACAGTCAAATTGATACAAAGTTTTCTATCTAAGGAAAACCAGTTGATTGCATTGACTCATTGACTCAAATACAATCCCCCACACTAAGCATGCTTGTAGCGACAGTGGAGAGGAAAAACTCCCTTTTAACAGGAAGAAACCTCCAGCAGAACCAGGCTCAGTGTGAGCGGCCATCTGCCGAGGCCGACTGGGGTTCAAGGAGACAGAAGCAGAGATACAAAAAGCAGCTGTAAAAGGCGGCCCCGTCCAGGAAACACACAGCCAGGCAGACGAGCTCCAAGGCAGCTCCCATGCCAGAGGACGAAGAGAGCACATTATTTTTAATAAGATCAATCTTATTTATAAAGAATCCCATAAAATCATTGCTGCTAAGAGCAGGTGGAATGGACGGTTCAACAGAGCTATGGCTCTGGGTGAGTTTGGCAACTGTATTAAAAAGAAATCTAGGATTATTCTTATTCTCCTCTATTAATGAGGAGAAGTATGCTGCTCTTGCTTTACAAAGGGTCCTCTTATACAGCAGTACACCATAACAGAACCATCAAGTCTAGCAAGGAGCTGTCACATCCTGCATGTTATTGTTTGTAGTGTTACCTACACCACATCCATTACCCACATTGAGCTTGTGAGAATGCTGTTAAATTCGCTGCGAAAATCTGGATAGCTGTAGTAACCGATGGGCAGCTTTAGTACACATCCACATGTGTGGGATTGTGGTCTGCGGAGGAAATCTGTGGTTTCTATGAACTCAATTAGTATGGCCTTATCCAAGAGATCGGATCCTGTACAGAACCGCAGGAAAAGCTGAAGACTGTTGAAATCAATTTCCCCAATGTACCTTTTCAGGTAACGAGAAACTGTTGACTGGGCTGCTGTCATCTCCTCTGGAAAGTTTAGAAGCTCCTTCACTGTTTTTGCAGTTGGTTTTTTTTGTGCAATGAAATGATGCAGTCCTTCTGGTGGTAGTATAGCAGCTACAGAACCCACAACAGGACGCCAGCACTTAATTACAAACATTGGGGCCTGAACGATTACTTTGTGTCCAATCTGTGCCAAAACAGGGAGCAGTGTGTCCTTGGTAGGGACTTGCTTGCATTCATGTGCATCAAGTACATCCAGCAATTCATCTGTGTCCACTGAATTAAAGTCCTCCAAAGCCTTCAGGAGGACAGATCTTTCTTCTTGTGATACGTACAGCAAAAAGGAATCTTTGAAACTACTGGTTGTCGAGCCATACAGCACCTCTTCCAGAAATGGTATTGCAAGCTTCACTGGGAAGTAACCAGCTTGTTTCCACCCTACTACAAACACTCTAGCTACAGCCTGCCATTCTTCACACTGAAAGTCATGCCTGATGAAGGGGACTTTCACCTCAACTCCCAGTGTGCAGCTGTCATAGAAATCTATCCAAAATTCTGTCAGGCAGTCTCGCAAAACACCACTTCCTTCCCCCTGCTCAAGCTCTCCATTTGGTAAACGCATTTTGATGTTGACCTCAGATGCAATAATGTTTGGGTCCTTAAAGGCACTGATCAAGTCAGTGAGACAGTGACCTCTTCTTACAATCAGTGTTACAGGACAAGATTGTGGTTCAGGAAGTGCTTGGTCTGGAACATTGGCCTCCCCTGCAAGCACCGGTGACAGATCCACTGTTTGATGAGGTGCAGCATCCTCTTTTTCTGGAAAGAGTGTTTCAAGGTTTGGTTCATCCACACTTACATCCAGCATGTCATCCCCACTTATAATAAAAACTACATCAGAATCTTCACTTTCGCCCACAGTTGGCAGACCATCCCATACTAATGTGTCGTTTAGTTCCAAATATCCACTTCTGGAAGCTCCATCATTAATTCCACAGTGGTTTGGTGATTCTGAATTTCTGTTTTCCACCAACAGATCCTCATCGGCCTGATTCTGTTCTTTGTTAGTGAGATCTACCCCGGAGGGCTGGCTTATTGCGTCATCATCCTCCACTTCTGAGGGCTGCTGTCGTTTTCTTTTTGGTGCACAGATAAAGTCGCAGAATTTTGACCTTGCTTTGATTATACAACTCTTCTACTGTATGAGACACATCAACATGTATCTGTGAGCTCTCAATATGAGTTGAATAGTGTGAAAGACTTTTGTTTTTTTTTGAAAGGCCATTGGGGAAAAAAAGATTTTCAGCCATAAGTTTGATATTTGCCACTGTTTCGTCTTTGTCAATAGACAGATGCCTCATGCCTCCACCACTGACAGACTTCACCTGTTTGTACCTCTCCTTCTCCTCATCAAAATCCATCATGCCAACCTCAATTCGTCTCACTTTCCGTTTTGCATTTGTATTTCCGCCCACTTAGATGATCTCTTTTTTGGAGGCATCGCCTCAGCTCCAGACAGTCTTTGTCGTAGCCTTGAGAGTATGGATTCTTTCCTTGATGGTGATTTTTGTGACAGTGTTGCTTGTCTGCAGAAGGCCACAGTGGAGACTTTGGACTTTGGGGATGTACTTTGCCAGGTCACTGTCTGTCATTAAAGGAATGACAGTTTCATCAATCTGAAAAAAATTTAATATAAATAAATAAATTAGTCAATAAAAAAACAAATTAATACATACAAATGCATAACATAGAATGCCAATGGATATCTAAAGGAAGTTAAGAATATAGCTATATTGGTGGTGTAAGGGTGTAGTTATTCACGTCATTAGTTTTCATTTTATGCAGCCTACTTTTGATAACTACTTTTGACCAATTTACTTTTGGTAATGGTGCACATATTTTTCCAACTTAAGATGACAAAGAATTATTTTAAATTATTCTGTAAACACAGTTGATGTACTTGATTACATTAAAAATTAAAACATATAACATTTTATAGTGTGCATCTGATTTTGTGCATTGAGCCTATCTATTCTGGTGTGACCATGTTCTACACAAACTTTCAGTAAATATTAAAATTCTGTTTGGAAAAAAATACACAACACACACACACACACAGACGCACACACACACACCAGGCAAGTAAAGACAGCAGCTGCAGTGGCTTACATTCTCATCTTCAAGTTTCTGGATCACATCTTCTTCAAGTTTGCGCTCCATCAAAAATTCTCGCAGCCGAGTATCCATAGTTGCCCTCTAAAACACTGGTAAACAAAATTAATTAACAAGTAGATTTTCCAGATTCTATGATTCCAAATCACATATTGCCCCATGTCCCTGATATTATTATTATTATGCTGCAAAAAGCAAAACCATTACTGCAAAATACAGTCACTTTATTACAGTGTAAATTAATATATTTATTTGAGCTCTCTCAGTGCCTCCCTTATTTGTGGTGACAGCTGCACATTGTAGAGCTCTGAAACTTTAAACTTGATGCAGCTCATTTAATCATTATGCTTAAGCTCTGACACTGTCCTATGAAATCCCTTTAATCTTTGGCAAAAGACTAAATGGAATGATTTGTAGTGATCAGATATTATCTGTGGTAATAAAGGATTGACCCATTTTCTAATCAAGGTTCTATTAGCTGTAATATACCAGCAGTATAAAACGGACTTCATAAAAACATCATCAAAGTGTTAACATAATGGTTTAAAGGAATCATAGCACATTTCATCTGCATGTAAACGTCAGGCAGGCTGATCAATAATATAGTGAACTTTTAATATTCTGTGATTTAATTGAAGGACAAATGTCCAGAGAACACTACAGACACATTCAGTATTTCAGTCAGAGCAACAACAACCTGCAAATCAATAAAAACTTGATTCTGATCACTACACGGCTTCGTCCGGTGGCATCATTAAACGCTGCGGTTCATATAGCCTATGTATTACCTCAGCTGAGAGTCTGACACACATGATGCTACTTTCAAAGGAGATGATCAGTGAAAAGGGCACTTTTTAAGCTGATTTCAAGCTGAAACTGTGAACAGAATCTGGTCCGGACCAGGTTAGGTCTGCAGCATAAGTTAGCATGGAGATCTAACCAGGTTAAAAGAAGACACCTTCGTGACACAGAAGACTCTGGTTTTATGCTCAACATACCTTGCTTAGTAGTATATCTACACCCCTCAGCTCTACTTGAAAAGTATCCTGATGTGTGTGCAGGGCTGCAGCTCCTACAGACAGAAATGAGTTTACAGCTAAATATTAGCACAAGACGTCAACAGATAGGCTAACCGCTATAACAAAGTATCAAACATAGGCCTAAATCAATAACTGCATAAATGTGGGATAACAAGATATTGAATAAAACAAAGACACTGACCTTAATGACATCACGCAGGTACGGGGCTCCGTACGTAGGCTACAGCAGGTTCTAGAGAAGACGCGCTCGATTTGGTCCAGGAATGATATTAATATTATCAATTAGTATTTCGTGCGCACGTTATACTTATTGCGTGGCCACAATTAATTTTTTTTTTTGACCATGTCATCAGAGGGGCTCCGTACATTTGCAGATTGTTGTACAGACACACAAATCTCCTCACACATTTACAGATTTATTTACACATTTTCAAATCCCACTGCACACACACAAATCGAGATACAGACACACAACTCTCCACACACATTTGCAAATATTAAAGCTACCATTTTGGCCCCATACAGGCGCGGTTGTTTTGAGCTTAGCAGACAGGCGAACGCAATGAATGACTAATGCTGCGTTCACTCCGGGCGCAGCTGGCGCGACAGAAGCAGCGAGTTTACATGCAAAGTCAATGGTTGACGCGCGTCAAGGCGCAGCAAAAGGTCCCGCGGCGCGTTTTGAGCAGCAGGCCCAGCGCGTCTGAGCAGCTGAAGCAGCGCGTCGGGCGCGTTTAAGCATCTGACGCAGGGAGAGAGACACAGCGCTGATGATCACTCCTCTTAAACAGTTTATTGACGCCTAAATTAACTTAAAATGCAGAAATCTGCCGGCAGAATATTCAGTTTGGATTATTTAGATGAAAAACACCTACCAGCTGCCGCGGTGAACCGCGAGGAGGCGACCCGGCCAGAGGCTGCTGATGAAGGGATTCCTTCTGTCGGCGCACCGCTGGTATGTGGGGGTCTGAGCGGCTCCGACAGAAAAAATATTGAAGGCAGGATAATAATCTGAATGAACTGACGGCACTGATTACGTTTTCAGGTGTATTTTCTCATTTAAACACATATTAAAACTACTTTATTCCCACTGATCACAGCAAATATAGCTGCAAGGCAGAGAAAGGATAGTGAAGCTCCGCCCAATGCGCGTCAGACACACTTTTGCACCGCGCAGCCAGAGCAGCAAAGCTGCTTCAGCCGCGCGTCAGAACTAACTGGTACAAGCAGCAAAAATGAAGCAGCAGACGCGATTTTGCTGCTTTTGCTGCGTAAACGTAGCATAACTGCACAAAGATCGCCACTGTGCTAGCAACGAGAATGCTTTTAACTGGGGGGGTGTAGCAGTTCTCGCCGTAAAGCAAGACCGACTCTCACGAGACTTCTGAGCCTGTGGGTGCGGGTCGGTGCTCCTGCAGTTGCAAGTGCAGTATTTCCCCCACAGACCACCAGGGTGGCCGAGAATACCTTTGTTCAACCTGAAATGACTCATTTAATCATCCAAAACGTTATGGAACACATTAATTACCTGAAAAATGTTGCATAGTGTGCCTTTAACTTTTGTGGATTTCAAATTTTAAAATAAATGTTTCCAACATAATATAGAAAAAAAACAGTTTCAGTTTTATTTTAGTTTATTATCCCATGTTAATGGAGGGAATGGATTATATCAGATGGCTAAAATATTAGATTCCCCTCTGATAACTCTGGCAAATAATGATCAAATGTCACCAAATTAACAGAGTTTGTTGCCGATGGAGAGAAGAATAAACTCAGTTAAACTTGCAGGTGAATTAATTTAATCCCAGTTATGGAGGAGGATTGTTATGTGTGACAGCATGAATACTAGAAAAATATCCTTAATCCAGTAATCTGTCATATTTTCCATTAGAACGTGATTTAGCAGAAAGTCTCCTCTCTCATCTTCACCCTCTGGGCCCCTGATCAAGAATCCTAGATCCTCCCCTGGGTTCTGATCAGAAACAGAACCAGTTTCCTGATCAGAACCAGAACCATCTTTGTCTCTATAGTCGTGTTTCTGCACGTGCTTCTCTGAAGCCATTATGAAAGGCTGAGCAGACAGAACAGGAAGTGAAGCTGATCGTCATCAGCGTCATCAGATCCCAGCGTCGCCATTGGTGCAGTGACAGCTGCTGGCCGCTGATTGGTCGGCCTGCCGGTCTTATATAAAAGGCTCCCCGCAGCAGCTCGTTCCTGATCTCCGCTTCATCCGGACTCCTCCACCTCTGCTCCTCCACATTCCTCCTCCACCTCCTGTCGGCAGAGCTGGTGAGTCTGCTCCTCTTTGTTCTCCTGTGGAGCTCCGCTCCCTGAGGCTGCGCTTTATTTCACCCTCTGGTTGATTTATTCCGCTTTATTTGAGTTTATTCAAACTTTATGTTTTCAGACTGATAATTTAACCCAGAAAGTAGAAAATGATTCAGATTAAGTTAAAATGTGGCTGAAGATGCGGTGAAAATGACGGTTAGTTGATCAGCAGCGTGGTTCACTGCGGTGCGGTGCGGTGCGGGAGGGGGAGGGGCTTCTGGAAGCTTCTCTAGTTTCTCTGTAATGGCGGCTCTGCTTCCTGCCGCCTGAGAGCAGCTCTACAGCTTTATGTTTGATCTATTTTATGGTTTTATGTTTCTATTTTCGTTTAATTTAGTCTGTTGAATAAAATGCATATTTTATGTTTTTGTTTGAATGTTTTTTAATTATTTTACTGCATAAAATGTACTGAGTGTTTTAATGTCCGTCTCCTTGGCGCCGCCAGTCACCATGTCTAAGGGACCAGCAGTGGGAATCGACCTGGGAACCACCTACTCCTGTGTGGGGGTGTTCCAGCATGGGAAGGTGGAAATCATCGCCAACGACCAGGGAAACCGCACCACCCCCAGCTACGTCGCCTTCACCGACACCGAGCGTCTGATCGGAGACGCCGCCAAGAACCAGGTGGCCATGAACCCCACCAACACGGTGTTCGGTAAGAAGCTGCGTCTGCTAGAATGTTCTAGACGCCCCGTTAGTCATGCTGAGGGCCGGCTTCGCTCTGCATGATGGAAACATTCTTTTCTCTTTTTTTAAACAGATGCCAAGCGCCTGATTGGCCGGAGGTTTGACGACGCCGTTGTTCAGTCGGACATGAAGCACTGGCCTTTCAACGTCATCAACGACAACACCCGCCCCAAGGTTCAGGTGGAATACAAGGGCGAGTCGAAGACCTTCTACCCGGAGGAGATCTCCTCCATGGTGCTGACCAAGATGAAGGAGATCGCTGAGGCTTACCTGGGGAAGGTAAGATGGTGGCCGATCATCTGAAGGGAAATGTATGGAAGTCGGAACGCTGACGGCCATCTTTGAACCTTTCAGACTGTCAACAACGCTGTGATCACAGTCCCCGCCTACTTCAACGACTCCCAGCGCCAGGCCACCAAGGATGCCGGTACCATCTCTGGCCTCAACGTTCTGCGTATCATCAACGAACCGACTGCCGCCGCCATCGCCTACGGGCTGGACAAAAAGGTGAGCAGCGGTCAGGCGGCCATGTTTGATGACTAACGAGCTCGTTACTGAGGCCTCTGTGGTTGGTTGCAGGTCGGCTCAGAGAGGAACGTGCTGATCTTTGACCTCGGCGGCGGCACCTTTGACGTCTCCATCCTCACCATCGAAGACGGCATCTTTGAGGTCAAGTCCACGGCTGGCGACACTCACCTCGGAGGAGAAGACTTCGACAACCGCATGGTGAACCATTTCATTGCAGAGTTCAAGCGAAAGTATAAGAAGGACATCAGCGACAACAAGAGGGCCGTCCGCCGCCTGCGCACCGCATGTGAGAGGGCGAAGCGCACGCTGTCTTCCAGCACCCAGGCCAGCATCGAGATCGACTCGCTCTACGAGGGCGTCGACTTCTACACCTCCATCACCAGAGCTCGCTTTGAAGAGCTCAATGCCGACCTGTTCCGTGGAACCCTGGACCCCGTGGAGAAGTCCCTCCGTGACGCCAAGATGGACAAAGGCCAGATCCACGACATCGTTCTGGTTGGCGGCTCCACCCGCATCCCCAAGATCCAGAAGCTGCTCCAGGACTTCTTCAACGGAAAGGAGCTGAACAAGAGCATCAACCCGGACGAGGCGGTGGCGTACGGAGCAGGTGAGGACATCAGGTGACCCGCTGACCTTCCTCCTCCGCCCTGAGATCTAACGGCTGTTTTTGGTCCACAGCGGTTCAGGCGGCCATCTTGTCTGGAGATAAATCTGAGAACGTGCAGGACCTGCTCCTCCTGGACGTCACCCCCCTGTCCCTGGGTATCGAGACCGCCGGCGGCGTCATGACTGTCCTGATCAAGAGGAACACCACCATTCCCACCAAGCAGACCCAGACCTTCACCACCTACTCTGACAACCAGCCCGGCGTGCTCATCCAGGTCGGTACCGGTTCTACTCCGGGTTCTGTAGGATCAGCCAGACGTCCTCTGACCCGTTTCCCTTCTGTCTGCAGGTCTATGAGGGAGAGCGCGCCATGACCAAAGACAACAACCTCCTGGGCAAGTTTGAGCTGACGGGAATCCCTCCCGCTCCTCGCGGCGTTCCACAGATCGAGGTGACCTTCGACATCGACGCCAACGGCATCATGAACGTCTCCGCTGTCGACAAGAGCACCGGCAAGGAGAACAAGATCACCATCACCAACGACAAAGGTAGGTCCTGACCCGACCGCGGCGGCCGCCAGAACGCCGCTCTGCACAGCTTCTGACCGCCGTCTGCCTCCAGGGCGCCTCAGCAAGGAAGACATCGAGCGCATGGTCCAGGAGGCTGAGAAGTACAAGGCGGAAGACGACGTGCAGCGCGACAAGGTGTCCGCTAAGAACGGGCTGGAGTCGTACGCCTTCAACATGAAGTCCACCGTAGAAGACGAGAAACTGGCGGGGAAGATCAGCGACGACGACAAGCAGAAGATCTTAGACAAGTGCAACGAGGTCATCAGCTGGTTGGATAAGAACCAGGTAAATATAACATGCCCCTATCACCCCCCCAGGCCTGAACCCCTCTAACCCTGAGTCTCCCCTCAGACCGCTGAGAAGGACGAGTATGAGCACCAGCAGAAGGAGCTGGAGAAGGTGTGCAACCCCATCATCACCAAGCTGTACCAGAGCGCCGGCGGCATGCCAGAGGGAATGCCCGGCGGCTTCCCTGGAGCCGGCGGCGCCGCTCCCGGTGGCGGATCCTCTGGCCCAACCATCGAGGAGGTCGACTAAACCGCCTCCCGGGACGCTAAGACCGAAGCCCTCTTCAGCGGAGCTCCCAACCAGCTGGAGA